GGAGGTGGCGATCCTGAGAGCTCAAGTCGCTCAGGGTTCGCAGACCGCGTCGGACATCTCTGTCGACGTGGGAGGTCGCGTCGCACGCTTGGCCCAGCGCGTTCACGCGCTAGAGCAGAGGTTCGCTCCCGCTGGGGCTTCCGCTTCGGGCCAGCCGAGCTAGGTGGCTCGTGCTGCCGGTATGGCTTCAGCCGTCCGACGTAAAAGGTCGGATGGAGGCGCATGCTAGATGGAATATCTAGCGTGTAGGCGTTGCCATGCCGTGCCAACACCGTGAACGGCCCGATGAAGCGCGGAGCGAGCTTGCTCGCCCCGAAGTCGGAAACTGCATGTTTAGGCAGGTTTTGAGTTGCTAACAAAACCAATGAACCCTTCTTGAATTCATTAGTTTTGCCCCTACCAACATTGTCTGCGTTCAGCTTCTGTCGGTCGACAGAAGCTGCGATAGCGTCTTGGACAAACCGAATGACGGCTTGTCTGCGCTGCACGAAGTTGATTGCGCCCGAGCTGAACTCGTTCAGCTCGTTTCTAGCAGTAGGCCCGGCCTCTGCGTTCGTCTTCGCGGTGTCTGTGCCCTGCACAGACCCGTTCTTCTTCTTTTTGCTCTTGTCGGCGTCTGTGCCCTGCACAGACGCGTGCTTCTTCTTCTTCTTGCGCGTAGTCGCGGCTAACACTGTGCAAGTATCAGCGGCATTCTGCGGCTGCTGCGTTGCAGTCGTAGATCCTCCCCCACTTAAGGAAGGAGCCACCATCCCGAGTAGACTCGGGCGGCGTGGGTGCCTTATGGCATTCACGTAGAACGGCGTATGCCCGGTCGAGGCATGCACCGAGTTGTTGATGGCGAACTCCGCCATCGGCAGACACTCGCTCCAGTGTTGGAACGAGTGCGCGTAGCTCTTAAGCACGTCTACGAGCACGCGGTTCACGCGCTCGGTCTGCCCGTCCGTCTGCGGATGGTCCGCAGTCGACATCAAAAGAAGTGTAAACACTTCTTGCCAAAGGTGTGCAGTGAAGCGCGGGTCTCGATCCGACACAATGTCTGCAGCGGGGCTGCCGTAGCTTTGCGTCAGAGGAAGCTTAACAGACTCACAGAGTCTCAGCTTAAGATAGCCCGTTCTAATACCAGAACGTACGAGTCCGTACACCTAACGGACTCCAAGAGTCAACCCTTAACTCTTAGCTGTGTGAATCTCAAACTGAATGTATTTCCCTTTATTGCGGCAAAGCCGCCTACGGTGTAAATGTATCCGGTTCACTATCTAGCATAGTGAACCCTAGTCATATGCATAATCAGTGGCTCTGAAGCCATGTACTGATTCTCCTACTGATTTAGGTTAGACAGTGTGTACCCACTTCGTAACCCTTCGGGTAACTCTCGTGTAAACCCGTTACACCCTCCCCCACCAAACCGTGGACACGGGTGTTCACGCATAACGGCCAACCACCGGGTCTTGTTCCGTCAAGCCTCCTTCTCGAACGAGTCAATCCACATCGCGTGGACTTCTCTGAGAACTTCTCGGCGCAACGCGCCCTCACATGACTTCAAGTCATAAAGCCTTTTGGTCTTTCGACCGCAGACAGCCTCTCGCGAGATCCGCCTCGGAGCCTCGCTCCTCTCGTGCTGCTGCACTGTGTGCCTCCGCACCTCCGCGAACGCCAGCGCCCGCGCGCACACCCTCGACGCCTTCCAGGCTCTCGGTGTCCGAGTACTTCGCGGCGCAACGCCTGAAGCGCAGCTCGCAGCGCACAAGCCCCAGCTCTCCTCGAGCACCAACCCGCCAGATCATGGATCCTAGGGAACTCTTTGGTGAAGAGGGCGAGGTGGACGAGTCCATGGAGGGTTCTCCGAACCGAGGAGATGCGTCCCCACTCACGCGACGCTCCCCGAGCCGCGGTGACGCTTCGCCCACAACGTCGACACGCCGTGAAGCAGGCTCGCCGGCCCCAGTTGGCTCTCCGAGCCGTCGCGATCAAGAGCGCCCCGCGTGCACGCCTCCTGTGCGCTCGCCGAGCCGGCCACCTGCAGAGCGCGCTGCGCCGTCGAGGGAGGGGCCGCGGTCACCGCTGCGAACTCCGAACCCGTTCCCTGAACGCTCTTCCGGCCTCTACGAGCTGCGCGCGCTCACTGAGCCACAGTATTCGCCACCTCGTGGTGAGGGCGTGCCCCTGGGCCCCGTCATCTCCAACCCTTTGGACGAAGCTCAGTCCGAGCAGGTTGCGGCGCAGATGGCTCCCATGCGCTCCCAGCGCCCCGAGCTGCGGCCTCTGCTGAACCCCAGCACTGCCGACTACGGCTTCCGACCTCGCGACCCCGCGGAGGCTTGTCGCCAGGCGTTCCAGCAGTCTCTCGCGCTGCACACCATTGGGCCCGCGGCCCATACTCCGGAGGAGCTCGCACTGCGTACGTCTCTGCGAGAGCGGCTCCTCACTCCACAGTCTACGACTGTCGCGGAGTATCGCGAGAGGCTGCGGCTGCAAGCCCAGCAGAAGTCCGTGCCCGCCATGCGGACGTACCCGGTGGTACTTAGCCCGGGGGAAGACTCAATTGAGTATGAAGCTCAGTTCGAGTCTTGGGCCGAGCACAGCCGAAAGCTCAGATCCATGGACGCTCTCCGAGCCAGCTTCAGTGAAGTGGATGTTCGCATTCAACGCAAGCTCCGCTTCGATTTCGCGAAGGTCCGAGCCAAGCGGAGCCTCTCGGCACTCGCCCAGCCGCAGACCCAGTTTAGCGCTGCGCGCTGCGCTCCTTCGAGCACTCCAGCCGCTCCTTCCCGCGAGGGAGTGAGCGCTGTGGCTCAGGGTCAGCCTCGGAGCCATGTGGCTGACCCAGCAGCTCCCCAGCTTATTGCCGGAGAGCGCGGGACGGCCGGCGTGCCGGCCTTGAGCCCTCGGGGCGCTGGTGATCAAGCTGATCAAAAGCGTCCACGACGTCTGGGCAGTCTTGGCGGAGGGGCACCTCAAACCCCCATGAGTTCTCGGAGTGAGGGTACCCTCGCCATTTCACCAGATACTGGTTTTGACCCCGGCACCGCCGCTTCTCCAGGAGGCGCTCCACATGGTAATGTAGATTCCCATGCTCACCGAACAGGGCCGGTGGAGGCCGCTGTGGGGTCCTTTGCGACTCAAAGTGAGCTCTTGGAGGTGCGGCAGCAGCCGGGTCGCCTTCGGAATCATATCCATGACGTCGATGCACGTCTGGTCCGGACTGCCACCGAACTCGACAAGCTCGCCGAGCGGACGCGATGGATCGAGGTGCCTCGAGCAGTCTGGGACCGCCTTGGGGCCCTGGAGGACTGGGTGCGATACTATCGCGATCGCGATGAGCAACGTGGCCGGGAGCTCGGGGAGCTACAGCGCCAGCAGGCTGTGCTTCAGGGTCAGCTCGACCTCCTGGCCCGCATGCAGGCTCCGACTGCCGCGCCTCCTGCGCCTGCGGCTCCCGCTGTGCCCGCGGCACCTCCGGCGCCGATTCTTCCGCCTGTGCCTGCGGTGCCCACGTGGGTGGTCGCGTCCTGCCTGCCACTCAGGCACTTTGCTGTGAGAAGAGTCTTCTTGCTGGAGAAGTACCGGAGCTCGTGGAAGCGCCTTTGATTCGTTAACGGATCAAAGTGCTGCTCCTCCGCCACAGCATCATCGTGGATCCCGCTGCATACGTACAGCGGAATTTCATTTGGAGGCACAGTGTTGCCCACAGGTCTGCGATCTCTGACGCAGACGGCATCCACGGATCGCGCGCTGCTCAGGCAGCGCGCGGAGAACTTGAAGACGCCACCTCACGCGGGGAGCTTAAAGCCCCAGCAGCGGAGAGCGGAGTTTCGCTCTCGCCGCGCGAACGCTTCGAGCTTGAAGCGTCCAAATCGTCTCCTTCACGAGGGCGTCTCGACCCTGCATGCGGGTCGAGACTATCGCTGTCGATAGACTCCTTGCGCTTGCTAGAAGAGGCCTCGCCCTCTTCCATCTCCACGTCGTCGTCCTCGAAGTCAACGGCATCGTTGACTACAGAAGAACCTTCGAGGACAATCTCTGGTTGAGTTGTCCCCGCCGCAGCCTTGGCAGCAAGAGCGTCACGCTTTGCTTTGAGACGCTCGCGGTACTCGGGGATAGAGAGAGTCTCTATCCCGGCGGAGGACTTCCCCTCTGTTGCAGCGTCGGTCTTCTTCTGAGGCGAGCTCATTGCGGAATGAGCTCGAGTTTTCTTTCTCCCAACGTGAAGAATTGACGAATGGTCAATTTCCTGATTGACGTGCCGTGACTCGGCGCGTCTAACCTTGAGGGAGGGATGGTGTAACAGGGTTACACGCACAAGTGGCTACAGTCACTTGTAACTCTAACAGACACGACATCTGTTAGAGGTTCGAAAGACTTTCTCGACCTTGGTGTAGACACACCAAAGGCTACATACATTTACGACCACCACGACGGGTGGTCCATAGAGACTTAGGATTCCTATTGGCTGAGAGCAGCATCTTTTAGCCAATGAGCGACATGCATAGCATTGGAATTCTGCCAACCAGTCGTTGGCAGATTCCTATCTTAGAATATTACATTTAGAGGAAGTCAGAAACATAAAACAAAAATAGCAGCTCTCATTTTAACCCAAAAACATTATTTGGATCGTTTATTTAGATTAATCTATACTCGGAGGTCCGAGTATAATTAACTCTAGTTTAAACCAAGGTACGCTTCCTCGTACACGTGCGCACACGTGTAAGCTAAAGTAGTGAGCCAAAGTAGGCCCACTACAACGCGCCACTCAATGGGTTTGCCTTGCCCTTGAGACTTCACTTGCAACGTAGCCAGGAAGGAACCTACCTCACGAACACCGGGTTTATCATCGTGAAGTGTAGCCACCACTTCACACACATCTTTTTCGCGTAATAAAGTCCGTAGGTTTGCGCCATTGTTGTACTCCTTCAAAGCATTTCTTGCCTTTTCCTTCTGTGCTGCACGGTCGAGAGGGGGGCGGCCTTGCCGTCTGACATTGCCTGACAGTCGAGCGCTTAGCCCGCGTGAACAACCTTCATTATCGGCAGCTTGGGTTGTCGAATCGACGACCTGCGTCGGTGCCTCATCGTCAGATCCGTCTTCGTCCTGCATGTTCCCTTCTTCGGCATTGTCATCGTGATGATCTTCTTGCGGGTCCTCTCCCTGGGACGCACTCCCACCCGGAGCGCCACCATCGTTCCCACCACCACCACCACTGCCTGAGCCATCGTCACCAGAGGATGGGGGCGGCAGGAGATCCGTCTTACCATGCCTCAGATTGTACCACCACTTGTCAAGGTCGCTCATTGCAGACTCGAACACTTCGTCCGGAACCTGCGCGAGCTCTCTACTGATACGGCCGAATGCCTGCTGTGCTCGGCGATGCACTTCGCCATGTGCCAGTCGCTGTTCGTCTCAATCAGTGAGTACTGGCCCGTTCCCGTATTGATCCATCGCAACCATCGTGAGAAGCTGGTAGTTATATCTACTCAGAACAAAGACACAACCTGATCGAAACCTGGTACCACGTAGCCAAAACTTGCAAACATAATACAGAGACTCACTGGTTGGTCTGATGCGTGCAGTCCATTTGAATCACTTCTGGGAATCTGTCCAGCATAGCGCGCACATGACCGCTCGTGAAGGATATCACGCCAGCCTCGCCGTGCGCGTTCTCATGCACCGAGGACACGTTTAGTGGCGACTCCAAGTTGAAATTCACGAACATCTCCACCACTGCGTCGTCGTCCGATAGCTCAATTCCTAGTCATCAATGTGACTAAAGTCAGTTTCACAGACAACTCATGTTATCACAAGAATAACTTGCCTTTCTTGTGCATCCGCGCAACCAGGTTTCGAACGTCGTCCATTGTGACGCGGTGGTTGGCGTTCTCCCGAATGTAGTTGTAGACGCTTGAAGTCCCAGCGTCGGCGTCGACTAGAGGTCAATGCCCGGCATCAGAGCAGAGCCTGCGGGAACCTGGCGAATACCTGGATAAGACCTGTAGATACCGTCGGAAATGGGGTGGTTATGGCTGTAGACTTCGCGCTTCATGACGATGCCTCACGTTCCATCTCGGCGCATGACGACTTGAGCTAGCATCGGAAACGGACAGTCCGTGCGGCGGAGCTTGTGCGACGTCCTCTTCCCAGCACGCTCCTTCCAGCCGTGTGTGCAGATGTACTTGCGCTGATCGGCTGCGACTGCTGCGGCTGCGAGGCTTCCAGCAGCTTGGCGTCGTAGACCGCGCGCCTCTCGGGGTCGCTCAGCGTCTCGTAGGCCAGCCGCAGCCGCGCGAACTGCGTCGAGTCCACGTCGCGCCGCTTCTCATCGTCCCCACCCATACCATCCACATACGAACACGCCGCATCCACAGACACGGATCACCGCATCGACTACCGCCAACAGCTTCAGCATCTGCCTCTGGTGCCCCCGCTACGTCCTCATCGCACCAGCGCCTCGTCCGCTGGTTGCTTCGTGCAGCCAAGGTCACGCGCCGCCAGACGCGCATCGCCCTTCGGCCGGCTGCAGTCGCAGGTGACGGGTCGCGAGTCGGGGCCCCAGCCGCCAAGCCCGACGGACATGATCGAGAGACCTTTCTCGAACTCAATGGACAAGCCAGCGACTCCGACATGCGAGCGGGCAGCGACCCACGCACGCATCAACCCGCAGACACGCAGAAAGACGAGCAAGGCATTCCGGAGCAAGAAAGACAAAAGTAGTCGCCCACCGTGGGGCTCGAACCCACGACCACAAGATTAAGAGTCTTGCGCTCTACCGACTGAGCTAGACGGGCTTCATATCCACTACCACACCACAAAAATACAAAATCAAACACCACGCACACCACAACCAAACACACACACGCACGCTCGCGCCACACAACCACACGCCACACATGCCTCTCGCTATCCACCCATACCATCCACATACGAACACGCCGCATCCACAGACACGGATCACCGCATCGACTACCGCCAACAGCTTCAGCATCTGCCTCTGGTGCCCCCGCTACGTCCTCATCGCACCAGCGCCTCGTCCGCTGGTTGCTTCGTGCAGCCAAGGTCACGCGCCGCCAGACGCGCATCGCCCTTCGGCCGGCCGCAGTCGCAGGTGACGGGTCGCGAGTCGGGGCCCCAGCCGCCAAGCCCGACGGACATGATCGAGAGACCTTTCTCGAACTCAATGGACAAGCCAGCGACTCCGACATGCGAGCGGGCAGCGACCCACGCACGCATCAACCCGCAGACACGCAGAAAGACGAGCAAGGCATTCCGGAGCAAGAAAGACAAAAGTAGTCGCCCACCGTGGGGCTCGAACCCACGACCACAAGATTAAGAGTCTTGCGCTCTACCGACTGAGCTAGACGGGCTTCATATCCACTACCACACCACAAAAATACAAAATCAAACACCACGCACACCACAACCAAACACACACACGCACGCTCGCGCCACACAACCACACGCCACACATGCCTCTCGCTATCCACCCATACCATCCACATACGAACACGCCGCATCCACAGACACGGATCACCGCATCGACTACCGCCAACAGCTTCAGCATCTGCCTCTGGTGCCCCCGCTACGTCCTCATCGCACCAGCGCCTCGTCCGCTGGTTGCTTCGTGCAGCCAAGGTCACGCGCCGCCAGACGCGCATCGCCCTTCGGCCGGCCGCAGTCGCAGGTGACGGGTCGCGAGTCGGGGCCCCAGCCGCCAAGCCCGACGGACATGATCGAGAGACCTTTCTCGAACTCAATGGACAAGCCAGCGACTCCGACATGCGAGCGGGCAGCGACCCACGCACGCATCAACCCGCAGACACGCAGAAAGACGAGCAAGGCATTCCGGAGCAAGAAAGACAAAAGTAGTCGCCCACCGTGGGGCTCGAACCCACGACCACAAGATTAAGAGTCTTGCGCTCTACCGACTGAGCTAGACGGGCTTCATATCCACTACCACACCACAAAAATACAAAATCAAACACCACGCACACCACAACCAAACACACACACGCACGCTCGCGCCACACAACCACACGCCACACATGCCTCTCGCTATCCACCCATACCATCCACATACGAACACGCCGCATCCATAGACACGGATCACCGCATCGACTACCGCCAACAGCTTCAGCATCTGCCTCTGGTGCCCCCGCTACGTCCTCATCGCACCAGCGCCTCGTCCGCTGGTTGCTTCGTGCAGCCAAGGTCACGCGCCGCCAGACGCGCATCGCCCTTCGGCCGGCCGCAGTCGCAGGTGACGGGTCGCGAGTCGGGGCCCCAGCTGCCAAGCCCGACGGACATGATCGAGAGACCTTTCTCGAACTCAATGGACAAGCCAGCGACTCCGACATGCGAGCGGGCAGCGACCCACGCACGCATCAACCCGCAGACACGCAGAAAGACGAGCAAGGCATTCCGGAGCAAGAAAGACAAAAGTAGTCGCCCACCGTGGGGCTCGAACCCACGACCACAAGATTAAGAGTCTTGCGCTCTACCGACTGAGCTAGACGGGCTTCATATCCACTACCACACCACAAAAATACAAAATCAAACACCACGCAAACCACAACCAAACACACACACGCACGCTCGCGCCACACAACCACACGCCACACATGCCTCTCGCTATCCACCCATACCATCCACATACGAACACGCCGCATCCACAGACACGGATCACCGCATCGACTACCGCCAACAGCTTCAGCATCTGCCTCTGGTGCCCCCGCTACGTCCTCATCGCACCAGCGCCTCGTCCGCTGGTTGCTTCGTGCAGCCAAGGTCACGCGCCGCCAGACGCGCATCGCCCTTCGGCCGGCCGCAGTCGCAGGTGACGGGTCGCGAGTCGGGGCCCCAGCCGCCAAGCCCGACGGACATGATCGAGAGACCTTTCTCGAACTCAATGGACAAGCCAGCGACTCCGACATGCGAGCGGGCAGCGACCCACGCACGCATCAACCCGCAGACACGCAGAAAGACGAGCAAGGCATTCCGGAGCATGAAAGACAAAAGTAGTCGCCCACCGTGGGGCTCGAACCCACGACCACAAGATTAAGAGTCTTGCGCTCTACCGACTGAGCTAGACGGGCTTCATATCCACTACCACACCACAAAAATACAAAATCAAACACCACGCACACCACAACCAAACACACACACGCACGCTCGCGCCACACAACCACACGCCACACATGCCTCTCGCTATCCACCCATACCATCCACATACGAACACGCCGCATCCACAGACACGGATCACCGCATCGACTACCGCCAACAGCTTCAGCATCTGCCTCTGGTGCCCCCGCTACGTCCTCATCGCACCAGCACCTCGTCCGCTGGTTGCTTCGTGCAGCCAAGGTCACGCGCCGCCAGACGCGCATCGCCCTTCGGCCGGCCGCAGTCGCAGGTGACGGGTCGCGAGTCGGGGCCCCAGCCGCCAAGCCCGACGGACATGATCGAGAGACCTTTCTCGAACTCAATGGACAAGCCAGCGACTCCGACATGCGAGCGGGCAGCGACCCACGCACGCATCAACCCGCAGACACGCAGAAAGACGAGCAAGGCATTCCGGAGCAAGAAAGACAAAAGTAGTCGCCCACCGTGGGGCTCGAACCCACGACCACAAGATTAAGAGTCTTGCGCTCTACCGACTGAGCTAGACGGGCTTCATATCCACTACCACACCACAAAAATACAAAATCAAACACCACGCACACCACAACCAAACACACACACGCACGACAACCACACGCCACACATGCCTCTCGCTATCCACCCATACCATCCACATACGAACACGCCGCATCCACAGACACGGATCACCGCATCGACTACCGCCAACAGCTTCAGCATCTGCCTCTGGTGCCCCCGCTACGTCCTCATCGCACCAGCGCCTCGTCCGCTGGTTGCTTCGTGCAGCCAAGGTCACGCGCCGCCAGACGCGCATCGCCCTTCGGCCGGCCGCAGTCGCAGGTGACGGGTCGCGAGTCGGGGCCCCAGCCGCCAAGCCCGACGGACATGATCGAGAGACCTTTCTCGAACTCAATGGACAAGCCAGCGACTCCGACATGCGAGCGGGCAGCGACCCACGCACGCATCAACCCGCAGACACGCAGAAAGACGAGCAAGGCATTCCGGAGCATGAAAGACAAAAGTAGTCGCCCACCGTGGGGCTCGAGTTCGAGAAGGTCTCTCGATCATGTCCGTCGGGCTTGGCGGCTGGGGCCCCGACTCGCGACCCGTCACCTGCGACTGCGGCCGGCCGAAGGGCGATGCGCGTCTGGCGGCGCGTGACCTTGGCTGCACGAAGCAACCAGCGGACGAGGCGCTGGTGCGATGAGGACGTAGCGGGGGCACCAGAGGCAGATGCTGAAGCTGTTGGCGGTAGTCGATGCGGTGATCCGTGTCTGTGGATGCGGCGTGTTCGTATGTGGATGGTATGGGTGGATAGCGAGAGGCATGTGTGGCGTGTGGTTGTGTGGCGCGAGCGTGCGTGTGTGTGTTTGGTTGTGGTGTGCGTGGTGTTTGATTTTGTATTTTTGTGGTGTGGTAGTGGATATGAAGCCCGTCTAGCTCAGTCGGTAGAGCGCAAGACTCTTAATCTTGTGGTCGTGGGTTCGAGCCCCACGGTGGGCGACTACTTTTGTCTTTCTTGCTCCGGAATGCCTTGCTCGTCTTTCTGCGTGTCTGCGGGTTGATGCGTGCGTGGGTCGCTGCCCGCTCGCATGTCGGAGTCGCTGGCTTGTCCATTGAGTTCGAGAAAGGTCTCTCGATCATGTCCGTCGGGCTTGGCGGCTGGGGCCCCGACTCGCGACCCGTCACCTGCGACTGCGGCCGGCCGAAGGGCGATGCGCGTCTGGCGGCGCGTGACCTTGGCTGCACGAAGCAACCAGCGGACGAGGCGCTGGTGCGATGAGGACGTAGCGGGGGCACCAGAGGCAGATGCTGAAGCTGTTGGCGGTAGTCGATGCGGTGATCCGTGTCTGTGGATGCGGCGTGTTCGTATGTGGATGGTATGGGTGGATAGCGAGAGGCATGTGTGGCGTGTGGTTGTGTGGCGCGAGCGTGCGTGTGTGTGTTTGGTTGTGGTTTGCGTGGTGTTTGATTTTGTATTTTTGTGGTGTGGTAGTGGATATGAAGCCCGTCTAGCTCAGTCGGTAGAGCGCAAGACTCTTAATCTTGTGGTCGTGGGTTCGAGCCCCACGGTGGGCGACTACTTTTGTCTTTCTTGCTCCGGAATGCCTTGCTCGTCTTTCTGCGTGTCTGCGGGTTGATGCGTGCGTGGGTCGCTGCCCGCTCGCATGTCGGAGTCGCTGGCTTGTCCATTGAGTTCGAGAAAGGTCTCTCGATCATGTCCGTCGGGCTTGGCAGCTGGGGCCCCGACTCGCGACCCGTCACCTGCGACTGCGGCCGGCCGAAGGGCGATGCGCGTCTGGCGGCGCGTGACCTTGGCTGCACGAAGCAACCAGCGGACGAGGCGCTGGTGCGATGAGGACGTAGCGGGGCACCAGAGGCAGATGCTGAAGCTGTTGGCGGTAGTCGATGCGGTGATCCGTGTCTATGGATGCGGCGTGTTCGTATGTGGATGGTATGGGTGGATAGCGAGAGGCATGTGTGGCGTGTGGTTGTGTGGCGCGAGCGTGCGTGTGTGTGTTTGGTTGTGGTTTGCGTGGTGTTTGATTTTGTATTTTTGTGGTGTGGTAGTGGATATGAAGCCCGTCTAGCTCAGTCGGTAGAGCGCAAGACTCTTAATCTTGTGGTCGTGGGTTCGAGCCCCACGGTGGGCGACTACTTTTGTCTTTCTTGCTCCGGAATGCCTTGCTCGTCTTTCTGCGTGTCTGCGGGTTGATGCGTGCGTGGGTCGCTGCCCGCTCGCATGTCGGAGTCGCTGGCTTGTCCATTGAGTTCGAGAAAGGTCTCTCGATCATGTCCGTCGGGCTTGGCAGCTGGGGCCCCGACTCGCGACCCGTCACCTGCGACTGCGGCCGGCCGAAGGGCGATGCGCGTCTGGCGGCGCGTGACCTTGGCTGCACGAAGCAACCAGCGGACGAGGCGCTGGTGCGATGAGGACGTAGCGGGGCACCAGAGGCAGATGCTGAAGCTGTTGGCGGTAGTCGATGCGGTGATCCGTGTCTATGGATGCGGCGTGTTCGTATGTGGATGGTATGGGTGGATAGCGAGAGGCATGTGTGGCGTGTGGTTGTGTGGCGCGAGCGTGCGTGTGTGTGTTTGGTTGTGGTTTGCGTGGTGTTTGATTTTGTATTTTTGTGGTGTGGTAGTGGATATGAAGCCCGTCTAGCTCAGTCGGTAGAGCGCAAGACTCTTATGCCCGCTCGCATGTCGGAGTCGCTGGCTTGTCCATTGAGTTCGAGAAAGGTCTCTCGATCATGACCGTCGGGCTTGGCGGCTGGGGCCCCGACTCGCGACCCGTCACCTGCGACTGCGGCCGGCCGAAGGGCGATGCGCGTCTGGCGGCGCGTGACCTTGGCTGCACGAAGCAACCAGCGGACGAGGTGCTGGTGCGATGAGGACGTAGCGGGGGCACCAGAGGCAGATGCTGAAGCTGTTGGCGGTAGTCGATGCGGTGATCCGTGTCTGTGGATGCGGCGTGTTCGTATGTGGATGGTATGGGTGGATAGCGAGAGGCATGTGTGGCGTGTGGTTGTGTGGCGCGAGCGTGCGTGTGTGTGTTTGGTTGTGGTGTGCGTGGTGTTTGATTTTGTATTTTTGTGGTGTGGTAGTGGATATGAAGCCCGTCTAGCTCAGTCGGTAGAGCGCAAGACTCTTAATCTTGTGGTCGTGGGTTCGAGCCCCACGGTGGGCGACTACTTTTGTCTTTCTTGCTCCGGAATGCCTTGCTCGTCTTTCTGCGTGTCTGCGGGTTGATGCGTGCGTGGGTCGCTGCCCGCTCGCATGTCGGAGTCGCTGGCTTGTCCATTGAGTTCGAGAAAGGTCTCTCGATCATGACCGTCGGGCTTGGCGGCTGGGGCCCCGACTCGCGACCCGTCACCTGCGACTGCGGCCGGCCGAAGGGCGATGCGCGTCTGGCGGCGCGTGACCTTGGCTGCACGAAGCAACCAGCGGACGAGGCGCTGGTGCGATGAGGACGTAGCGGGGGCACCAGAGGCAGATGCTGAAGCTGTTGGCGGTAGTCGATGCGGTGATCCGTGTCTGTGGATGCGGCGTGTTCGTATGTGGATGGTATGGGTGGATAGCGAGAGGCATGTGTGGCGTGTGGTTGTGTGGCGCGAGCGTGCGTGTGTGTGTTTGGTTGTGGTTTGCGTGGTGTTTGATTTTGTATTTTTGTGGTGTGGTAGTGGATATGAAGCCCGTCTAGCTCAGTCGGTAGAGCGCAAGACTCTTAATCTTGTGGTCGTGGGTTCGAGCCCCACGGTGGGCGACTACTTTTGTCTTTCTTGCTCCGGAATGCCTTGCTCGTCTTTCTGCGTGTCTGCGGGTTGATGCGTGCGTGGGTCGCTGCCCGCTCGCATGTCGGAGTCGCTGGCTTGTCCATTGAGTTCGAGAAAGGTCTCTCGATCATGTCCGTCGGGCTTGGCGGCTGGGGCCCCGACTCGCGACCCGTCACCTGCGACTGCGGCCGGCCGAAGGGCGATGCGCGTCTGGCGGCGCGTGACCTTGGCTGCACGAAGCAACCAGCGGACGAGGCGCTGGTGCGATGAGGACGTAGCGGGGCACCAGAGGCAGATGCTGAAGCTGTTGGCGGTAGTCGATGCGGTGATCCGTGTCTATGGATGCGGCGTGTTCGTATGTGGATGGTATGGGTGGATAGCGAGAGGCATGTGTGGCGTGTGGTTGTGTGGCGCGAGCGTGCGTGTGTGTGTTTGGTTGTGGTTTGCGTGGTGTTTGATTTTGTATTTTTGTGGTGTGGTAGTGGATATGAAGCCCGTCTAGCTCAGTCGGTAGAGCGCAAGACTCTTAATCTTGTGGTCGTGGGTTCGAGCCCCACGGTGGGCGACTACTTTTGTCTTTCTTGCTCCGGAATGCCTTGCTCGTCTTTCTGCGTGTCTGCGGGTTGATGCGTGCGTGGGTCGCTGCCCGCTCGCATGTCGGAGTCGCTGGCTTGTCCATTGAGTTCGAGAAAGGTCTCTCGATCATGTCCGTCGGGCTTGGCGGCTGGGGCCCCGACTCGCGACCCGTCACCTGCGACTGCGGCCGGCCGAAGGGCGATGCGCGTCTGGCGGCGCGTGACCTTGGCTGCACGAAGCAACCAGCGGACGAGGCGCTGGTGCGATGAGGACGTAGCGGGGCACCAGAGGCAGATGCTGAAGCTGTTGGCGGTAGTCGATGCGGTGATCCGTGTCTATGGATGCGGCGTGTTCGTATGTGGATGGTATGGGTGGATAGCGAGAGGCATGTGTGGCGTGTGGTTGTGTGGCGCGAGCGTGCGTGTGTGTGTTTGGTTGTGGTTTGCGTGGTGTTTGATTTTGTATTTTTTCTTTTCCACGCACGCATCAACCCACGCACGCATCAACCCGCAGACACGCAGAAAGACGAGCAAGGCATTCCGGAGCAAGAAAGACAAAAGCAGTCGCCCACCGTGGGGCTCGAACCCACGACCACAAGATTAAGAGTCTTGCGCTCTACCGACTGAGCTAGACGGGCTTCATATCCACTACCACACCACAAAAATACAAAATCAAACACCACGCAAACCACAACCAAACACACACACGCACGCTCGCGCCACACAACCACACGCCACACATGCCTCTCGCTATCCACCCATACCATCCACATACGAACACGCCGCATCCATAGACACGGATCACCGCATCGACTACCGCCAACAGCTTCAGCATCTGCCTCTGGTGCCCCGCTACGTCCTCATCGCACCAGCGCCTCGTCCGCTGGTTGCTTCGTGCAGCCAAGGTCACGCGCCGCCAGACGCGCATCGCCCTTCGGCCGGCCGCAGTCGCAGGTGACGGGTCGCGAGTCGGGGCCCCAGCTGCCAAGCCCGACGGACATGATCGAGAGACCTTTCTCGAACTCAATGGACAAGCCAGCGACTCCGACATGCGAGCGGGCAGCGACCCACGCACGCATCAACCCACGCACGCATCAACCCGCAGACACGCAGAAAGACGAGCAAGGCATTCCGGAGCAAGAAAGACAAAAGCAGTCGCCCACCGTGGGGCTCGAACCCACGACCACAAGATTAAGAGTCTTGCGCTCTACCGACTGAGCTAGACGGGCTTCATATCCACTACCACACCACAAAAATACAAAATCAAACACCACGCAAACCACAACCAAACACACACACGCACGCTCGCGCCACACAACCACACGCCACACATGCCTCTCGCTATCCACCCATACCATCCACATACGAACACGCCGCATCCATAGACACGGATCACCGCATCGACTACCGCCAACAGCTTCAGCATCTGCCTCTGGTGCCCCGCTACGTCCTCATCGCACCAGCGCCTCGTCCGCTGGTTGCTTCGTGCAGCCAAGGTCACGCGCCGCCAGACGCGCATCGCCCTTCGGCCGGCCGCAGTCGCAGGTGACGGGTCGCGAGTCGGGGCCCCAGCTGCCAAGCCCGACGGACATGATCGAGAGACCTTTCTCGAACTCAATGGACAAGCCAGCGACTCCGACATGCGAGCGGGCAGCGACCCACGCACGCATCAACCCACGCACGCATCGACACGCAGAAAGACGAGCAAGGCATTCCGGAGCAAGAAAGACAAAAGTAGTCGCCCACCGTGGGGCTCGAACCCACGACCACAAGATTAAGAGTCTTGCGCTCTACCGACTGAGCTAGACGGGCTTCATATCCACTACCACACCACAAAAATACAAAATCAAACACCACGCAAACCACAACCAAACACACACACGCACGCTCGCGCCACACAACCACACGCCACACATGCCTCTCGCTATCCACCCATACCATCCACATACGAACACGCCGCATCCATAGACACGGATCACCGCATCGACTACCGCCAACAGCTTCAGCATCTGCCTCTGGTGCCCCGCTACGTCCTCATCGCACCAGCGCCTCGTCCGCTGGTTGCTTCGTGCAGCCAAGGTCACGCGCCGCCAGACGCGCATCGCCCTTCGGCCGGCCGCAGTCGCAGGTGACGGGTCGCGAGTCGGGGCCCCAGCTGCCAAGCCCGACGGACATGATCGAGAGACCTTTCTCGAACTCAATGGACAAGCCAGCGACTCCGACATGCGAGCGGGCAGCGACCCACGCACGCATCAACCCGCAGACACGCAGAAAGACGAGCAAGGCATTCCGGAGCAAGAAAGACAAAAGCAGTCGCCCACCGTGGGGCTCGAACCCACGACCACAAGATTAAGAGTCTTGCGCTCTACCGACTGAGCTAGACGGGCTTCATATCCACTACCACACCACAAAAATACAAAATCAAACACCACGCACACCACAACCAAACACACACACGCACGCTCGCGCCACACAACCACACGCCACACATGCCTCTCGCTATCCACCCATACCATCCACATACGAACACGCCGCATCCACAGACACGGATCACCGCATCGACTACCGCCAACAGCTTCAGCATCTGCCTCTGGTCCCCCGCTACGTCCTCATCGCACCAGCGCCTCGTCCGCTGGTTGCTTCGTGCAGCCAAGGTCACGCGCCGCCAGACGCGCATCGCCCTTCGGCCGGCCGCAGTCGCAGGTGACGGGTCGCGAGTCGGGGCCCCAGCCGCCAAGCCCGACGGACATGATCGAGAGACCTTTCTCGAACTCAATGGACAAGCCAGCGACTCCGACATGCGAGCGGGCAGCGACCCACGCACGCATCAACCCGCAGACACGCAGAAAGACGAGCAAGGCATTCCGGAGCAAGAAAGACAAAAGCAGTCGCCCACCGTGGGGCTCGAACCCACGACCACAAGATTAAGAGTCTTGCGCTCTACCGACTGAGCTAGACGGGCTTCATATCCACTACCACATCACAAAAATACAAAATCAAACACCACGCACACCACAACCAAACACACACACGCACGCTCGCGCCACACAACCACACGCCACACATGCCTCTCGCTATCCACCCATACCATCCACATACGAACACGCCGCATCCACAGACACGGATCACCGCATCGACTACCGCCAACAGCTTCAGCATCTGCCTCTGGTGCCCCCGCTACGTCCTCATCGCACCAGCGCCTCGTCCGCTGGTTGCTTCGTGCAGCCAAGGTCACGCGCCGCCAGACGCGCATCGCCCTTCGGCCGGCCGCAGTCGCAGGTGACGGGTCGCGAGTCGGGGCCCCAGCTGCCAAGCCCGACGGACATGATCGAGAGACCTTTCTCGAACTCAATGGACAAGCCAGCGACTCCGACATGCGAGCGGGCAGCGACCCACGCACGCATCAACCCGCAGACACGCAGAAAGACGAGCAAGGCATTCCGGAGCAAGAAAGACAAAAGCAGTCGCCCACCGTGGGGCTCGAACCCACGACCACAAGATTAAGAGTCTTGCGCTCTACCGACTGAGCTAGACGGGCTTCATATCCACTACCACACCACAAAAATACAAAATCAAACACCACGCACACCACAACCAAACACACACACGCACGCTCGCGCCACACAACCACACGCCACACATGCCTCTCGCTATCCACCCATACCATCCACATACGAACACGCCGCATCCACAGACACGGATCACCGCATCGACTACCGCCAACAGCTTCAGCATCTGCCTCTGGTGCCCCCGCTACGTCCTCATCGCACCAGCGCCTCGTCCGCTGGTTGCTTCGTGCAGCCAAGGTCACGCGCCGCCAGACGCGCATCGCCCTTCGGCCGGCCGCAGTCGCAGGTGACGGGTCGCGAGTCGGGGCCCCAGCCGCCAAGCCCGACGGACATGATCGAGAGACCTCTCTCGAACTCAATGGACAAGCCAGCGACTCCGACATGCGAGCGGGCAGCGACCCACGCACGCATCAACCCACGCACGCATCAACCCGCAGACACGCAGAAAGACGAGCAAGGCATTCCGGAGCAAGAAAGACAAAAGTAGTCGCCCACCGTGGGGCTCGAACCCACGACCACAAGATTAAGAGTCTTGCGCTCTACCGACTGAGCTAGACGGGCTTCATATCCACTACCACACCACAAAAATACAAAATCAAACACCACGCAAACCACAACCAAACACACACACGCACGCTCGCGCCACACAACCACACGCCACACATGCCTCTCGCTATCCACCCATACCATCCACATACGAACACGCCGCATCCACAGACACGGATCACCGCATCGACTACCGCCAACAGCTTCAGCATCTGCCTCTGGTCCCCCGCTACGTCCTCATCGCACCAGCGCCTCGTCCGCTGGTTGCTTCGTGCAGCCAAGGTCACGCGCCGCCAGACGCGCATCGCCCTTCGGCCGGCCGCAGTCGCAGGTGACGGGTCGCGAGTCGGGGCCCCAGCCGCCAAGCCCGACGGACATGATCGAGAGACCTTTCTCGAACTCAATGGACAAGCCAGCGACTCCGACATGCGAGCGGGCAGCGACCCACGCACGCATCAACCCGCAGACACGCAGAAAGACGAGCAAGGCATTCCGGAGCAAGAAAGACAAAAGTAGTCGCCCACCGTGGGGCTCGAACCCACGACCACAAGATTAAGAGTCTTGCGCTCTACCGACTGAGCTAGACGGGCTTCATATCCACTACCACACCACAAAAATACAAAATCAAACACCACGCACACCACAACCAAACACACACACGCACGCTCGCGCCACACAACCACACGCCACACATGCCTCTCGCTATCCACCCATACCATCCACATACGAACACGCCGCATCCACAGACACGGATCACCGCATCGACTACCGCCAACAGCTTCAGCATCTGCCTCTGGTGCCCCCGCTACGTCCTCATCGCACCAGCGCCTCGTCCGCTGGTTGCTTCGTGCAGCCAAGGTCACGCGCCGCCAGACGCGCATCGCCCTTTGGCCGGCCGCAGTCGCAGGTGACGGGTCGCGAGTCGGGGCCCCAGCCGCCAAGCCCGACGGACATGATCGAGAGACCTTTCTCGAACTCAATGGACAAGCCAGCGACTCCGACATGCGAGCGGGCAGCGACCCACGCACGCATCAACCCGCAGACACGCAGAAAGACGAGCAAGGCATTCCGGAGCAAGAAAGACAAAAGTAGTCGCCCACCGTGGGGCTCGAACCCACGACCACAAGATTAAGAGTCTTGCGCTCTACCGACTGAGCTAGACGGGCTTCATATCCACTACCACACCACAAAAATACAAAATCAAACACCACGCACACCACAACCAAACACACACACGCACGCTCGCGCCACACAACCACACGCCACACATGCCTCTCGCTATCCACCCATACCATCCACATACGAACACGCCGCATCCACAGACACGGATCACCGCATCGACTACCGCCAACAGCTTCAGCATCTGCCTCTGGTGCCCCCGCTACGTCCTCATCGCACCAGCGCCTCGTCCGCTGGTTGCTTCGTGCAGCCAAGGTCACGCGCCGCCAGACGCGCATCGCCCTTGGGCCGGCCGCAGTCGCAGGTGACGGGTCGCGAGTCGGGGCCCCAGCCGCCAAGCCCGACGGACATGATCGAGAGACCTTTCTCGAACTCAATGGACAAGCCAGCGACTCCGACATGCGAGCGGGCAGCGACCCACGCACGCATCAACCCGCAGACACGCAGAAAGACGAGCAAGGCATTCCGGAGCAAGAAAGACAAAAGTAGTCGCCCACCGTGGGGCTCGAACCCACGACCACAAGATTAAGAGTCTTGCGCTCTACCGACTGAGCTAGACGGGCTTCATATCCACTACCACACCACAAAAATACAAAATCAAACACCACGCACACCACAACCAAACACACACACGCACGCTCGCGCCACACAACCACACGCCACACATGCCTCTCGCTATCCACCCATACCATCCACATACGAACACG